CTAAATATTATTGAAATATAATATAATATAAGTATAATTATAGATAAAACTCTCGTCTTTTATGAATGATGATCATATAGAAAAGTTGGATAGAACTTTGAAAATTTTGTAAATATCTTACATTAATGATGAGCCATAAGTACATTTGATAACAATTAATTAGATTATATATATATATATATATATTGCTTGTCATTTACTGTTATATCTTTATAATACAATTGTGTCTAATGTTTTTTATACCAAAATTAAAAAAAAAAAATTATGAACAGATTTTCTTCCTTTACAAAAATTGTATAATGACAGAAATATTAGATTTTTATGTATGTTATTACAGGTCATATATTTTCGGTGTAACTAACTCATAAATCCTTAAACTATTATAATCACTCTTCTTAGTAATTTATAACAATAAAAAATTGAAATTCTTTTAAAGATAAAATTAAGATACTTTATTACATAACTATTGATATTTTAAAAAACCTAATTTTTTTAAAAAAATATAATTAAAATTGGCCACACTTAATTCATAAAATTTTTAAAAACTTATAAAAGAATATTATAATTAATATCATATATTTTAAATAATTTTTATATAAATTTTTTAACTATTGATATTCATAAAATTATCAAAAAAATAAAAAAATAATGACAATTGATTAAACTTAATTCATAAAAATTATAAAAATTCATTTGGAAATTAAAAATAATAATGAGAACTAATATGATAAAAACAAATAAAATATACAAGAAAAAAAATTTATAAAATATTTAATTATATATTACATATAAATTAATAGAATGATAATATTTTTATTTTTAAATTTTAAATTTTTTTGACAAAATTATTTTAATCCAGCAATCATCTATCTACGTGTGCATGTAAAAATTATTATATACAACTATTTAATACTCTATCCATTTTTAAAAAAAGCTAATAGTTATTAAGATTAAGAAAATATTTATAAAATTTCATCATTTACAATTTAATCTTTAGTTTTTACTTTTATTTTTTATTTATATTTATTAATTATTATATTTAAATGACTATTTACAATTATCTTTTTATGAAACTGTTTTGAAGAAATAATCTATTTATATCTATAAATTTATGTAAAATTCACTAAAAATCAACATTTAATATTTTACACATTTATATTAAAAGAACCTTATTATATATAAACATAAATTATAATTAATTTATAGTTTCTAAATTAGTAAAATAACAACTATAAAATTGATTATAATTAATTGAATTTAATTCTTACAAACTATCTAATGATCATGAAATCTTAAAAATTAAAAAAATACATCACTTTTGGATTGTATTTAAAAAAATTTATTAAAATTAATTATATATTAAAATTTTATGTTGGTGGACATGTTATAAATAGAAATAAATCATTGGTTATAAATTATATGTAATAAAAATTTATTAAAATTGATTGTTTAGAAAGGTGAAAATTTTAACAATAAAATATTAAAATGAAAAAAAATTATTAATTACCTTATTTTTCATTATTTAAAAAATTTTATTAATTTAATATCTTTGTTATAAAAATATGTATTAAAAAATTAAAATATATTTAACTAAGTAATACATGTAACAATTAGTATGTATATTTACAAAAATCTTATTTTATATTTATTAAATTATTTTTTTATTTAAAACATAAAACTATCAATTGATTAAAAATTAGTAAATCAATTGAATTTTAATCTGATATAAATAAGCCTAAATACAAAATCCATATCCATGAATTATTGATGGAGGTTAAACAAATATTTCATTGAGGGCAGAGTAACATTACTTAATGTTGTTCTAAATAGTCTTTCAATATATATATTTTTTACCATTTTAGAGAATGTCATCAGGTGTCATTAAGGAAGTACTGAAGATTCAACATAGGTTTCTTTGAAGTGGCATGAAGGAATTATAAAAAATAACTTGGGTTAAATGATAAAAAGTATGCATGTCAAAGAATGAGGGCAATTTGGAGGTGAAAAATGTGGAATAGTTTAATTGGAGCTTGTTGGGTAAATGAGTTTGGAGTTTATTGAAGTTTTCAAACTCATTGTGGTTTAATGTGCTACGAGCATGGTATGAATCATATACTGATATGTTAGCTTCTTTGAAGGTGACTCACAATGCTTCAAATTGATGGAGAGACGTGGTATGGGTTTGTAAGGAAGCCAATGAATGGATAGATTCTAATGTCACACGAGGATCTTCATGATGGTTGTTCCTTTAGTTTTTGGAAGAATAAATGGGTGAGAAATATTGCGTTGGCGAATTCATACCTAAGGTTATTTTCTGTAGCGACAAATAAGGAGGTGCAAGTGGTGGAGAATGGATGATTTGAGAGGGGTCAATGGGTATGAAAATTTTCTTAGAGAAGGAAATTGTTTGCATAGAAGGAAGATTTACAACAGTAGTTGTGGGAGACTATGGAAGATAAGAGGCTAAGGAAAAATGTGAATGACATGTTGATGTAGAAGTGTGATAGTAATAAAGACTACAATGTTTAATTCGCTTATTGCTACATTCATAATTACTTCATTGCAGACAACGGTTTAGAGTTATGTCTAGTGCAGGCATTACGCAAAATTTGGAAGGTTGGTGCACCGAGAAAAGTAGTGGTATTTATGTGGCGTCTGTTGCTTAATGCAATTCTAGTACAAAGAAATTTAACCAAACACGAATTGACGATTTCTTCAGAAGCATGTGGATTTTGTGATACTAAAGATAAGAAGGTATTGTAATGAGACAGACCAACAATCCTACTATTTCCTATCCCTTTACTGTAGATAACTTGACGTGTAAAGTATATCGATTGCTATTAAAAGTTTTGGACCAAATGAAATTTATTTATTTTTTTTCACATGAGTACATAGGATTATTTAACCTGGTTTATGGATATCACTATCATTCTTGAGTATTGAGAAACTTTTTTTTAATATATTTTAAACTGACATGCAGTCACAAACATGGATCTTGATTCTTCATACACCTGATAGACAATGGTTTATACAAATACATATCATACTCTTATTACTAATAATTACTCATGAGGTTCCATTTTCTTATTTACACATACTCAAAATTTTTAAAAACTTATGATATTAGTAAGTATCACTTGAATAATATAACCATAACATGTATTGGCATAACAATGCAAGTGGACTCAAATCTTTTTCACCTGCTCATGAGCCAATTACTAATAATATAAGATACAACATGTGATTTATTACTTCAACTAGAACTCTCTTAGGAGTAGGGTACACTTAATGTGCAACTACAAACCCAAAGAGTTCACACTCATTTCTTGCATGCATTGAAGAACCAATTTCCTATCTATTTAATTTCATCCAAATTAAAATAAAAAAAAAACTGATAACATAAATCTAGTCATATAGATAAATCTTATAATTGTTAAAAGTAATCATCACGAATTATCCAAAAGTCTTAGAGATGTAATCCATAAATATTAGTTATTGTAAATAAAAATATAAGTGAAAAAAAATTAATATTTGCAATAATATATTTCATATTTGATAAGGAAATGATTTTTGTTGTATTTATATTAATTAGTATATAATTTTTTTTAGTTATTTAGAATCATTTATTATATATTTTTTAAAATTCTTATGACAACAATAAAATAATACATTTGTGTTAATCAGATTTAAAATTTAACTATTTTTTATTTTTATTTTAAACTAATTATTGTGGTTTTAATTATTTAATTAGAAAAGGTTTTTTTTATCTATTAACTGTTATATAGTTAAATATTTTATTACTAATTTTTAATTAAAATATTAAAAAAATATAAAAGATAAATTTTTCATTTTATAATTTTATTTAATAATATTATATTTGATAATATTTTTATAATAAATTTTTATTATAATTTAAAATAAATGATAAATTTATGATTTTTAAAAAATAATTTTTTATTTTTCAAATATATTTTATCAATTTTGAATAAAATATTATATACAAATATATGTAAAAGCCCTGACATAAATATCAGTAACTTTTATAATTTTTTCATAATTAAAGAATGAGTATAATGAAATGAATCTTTATTTTTTTAAGATATAAAATATAAATCGAACTAAATCAACAAAATATTTTTTTCTATTCAATTAATAAAATATTTTATAGATATAAAATAAATAAATTTATATTCTGATAGTTAACTTTAAAAATATTAATTATTATAAATATCTGTATATAGATATTTGTTCCCGTGCAATAATAAACATATATAACTTCAATAACATAATATAGTATGATTCGAAATTCATGGACAACATCCATGACAATATCTTTTAAATAAAAGTAAATAATTTATTGTATTGTTATAAATATATATTTTTATAATATTTTTATTTAATTTAAAGTTTTCTAATTTAATATATTTTATACCTATAAATATTTGTAATTCAATTTTAGCCCTGTAAAAGTGTGCAACGAAGGCATAACATACTAGTTTTGATTTACATGTAATAATTAGTATTTCTTAAGTGTGTATGAAAAGATACATTATTAAAAAATAATTAAAATTTATAACATCTAACATTATTCATTCATTAAATTCTGTAATATTTTTTTAACAAAGAAGTTCTATAATATCTTATCATTTTTAATAAAAAAAATTATACATAAATTTATATACTTTTAAATACATATTATAAAAATAAGTATGATAATATAACTTATGAATAAAGTTTATGAATATGTATCTCCAATTTTTATCAAAGTGACCCAACTGGAATTCTCACACGATTGAAACCTACAAATCATGGATGAAAGTCAATTTGATCCAACGGTTATCAATCAGCTATACACTGGCGCAGTGCACGTTGATCGAAGATGCATTGTATATAGAATTACCCCCCCCCCCTCCTCTCTTCTCTCCATTTCAAATTTTCGTCTCCAATTCGCAATCGGATAAACCCTACCCTCATCTTCGATTGCTGTTGCTGTTACTGAGATGAAAGTGAAGATCCTGCGTATCCTTCTCAATTTTCCATTCTTCTTCATTTCCCCTTCCATCTTTTTACCCTTTTTTGTTCTTCTAATTTTTGCATCTTACATGTTTGCGTCTTTACTTCGGATTGTTGTATGTTTTTTGAATTTTCATGCTTTTACTTTCAGCCTAGTATTTGTCAATGTATCAATTGTTGGGTATTTACAGAAGACAAAAAGATTATGTTTTTCTTGACCAAAATTCTCTCTCTGGATATTTGCTGATCTTCTCAAAGAGTATGTTCTCCTTTTCCTTTTCATTTTCAACATAACTTTAATGCAATGATGAACTTGTTCTGCTTAATTTTTCTTTCAAATTTATGGTTGGGCTGAGTGTGGAGACTGGGGACTCCTCTTTAGCTTAGTGTATGTTTGGAAACACGTAGTGGAATCTATAAACATGTAAAAACTATAATTAGTAGTGTTGAAGTCAACATAGATTTATGCTCATTCAAACCTGAATCAAAACATTCTATTACTTTTGTGATGTGGGGGTATATTCAGTTGTGTTTCTGCAGTAAGGGTATGGTGCATTTCAATTGCTTGGTTGTGAAAGGTGGAAAATTAGAGTGAAAAATAAGTGAAATGGAAAGGTTTTGATTCTCTGTTGGTGGTACTTGTTGGGAGCAGTGGACAAAAGTTGGTGGAAAATAATTTTCTGCTGACATTTATGCTATGGAAGGAATATTGACTGGTGTGGAATTGAGCTGCATTGCACTTACAGTTGCTGCCAAATTTCTGTTTTTCCAAGCAAATTTAATGTAGTTTTGTTTCCAAATTTTCAGCCTTCCTAGTTTGTATCTGTTTAGGTTGCTTTGCTACTAAATCAAACACATTCTGAATTTCCTCCTTCCCTTTTGTCAAATATAGATGGCATGCTGTTGCTTCATGGACATGGGATGCCCAGGATGAAACATGTGGGATTTGTAGGATGGCCTTTGATGGATGTTGTCCTGACTGCAAACTCCCAGGGGATGACTGCCCTCTGAGTAAGCTACAAATAACATTATATGGAATCTTTCATCATTGTTGTTATATTTTGTATTTTTGGAATTCTATGCTCTCAAGTGTACAATGAGTAAATGCTTGTGATTTCATTTTTCACATATTCGCTTCTATTAATTAAATGAATTCCGGCAGTGATTGGGGTTGTAAGGGAAACACAACAGATTTTTAGTTGTTAGTTTACTACACAACGTGGATCTTATTCTACTAACAATCAATGTGGAGTGGATGAAGTTTTCAATCTTTGTTGATCAGTTTGTAGGTTTCTGAAAAGGGGTTCCCTTTTATTGCTCTTTGGGGTCTTTATATGTAGGGCAATGAATAACTCTGTCCTCTTACTGGGAGGATGATTGAGATTACAATACTAGTGTGTTAGAATTTTCCAATTTTCCTGAATGTCGTTACGCTAATATACCTCCAAACATCATTTGTAGTTTCACATTTACACTGATACTTAAGTTTAAAATTTTCTAGTTCCCCTGATTTGAATGGGTTGAACTACTGCAAAGATGCTATTGTCACTGGCATGCATGGTGTGACTATTTAAAAAAATTTATGCATACCCAAGAGTCTGAAGGAATTCCCACAGAATTGAGAAGTTTTCAAAAAAAGAAAAAGAAAAGCCTAACTGACTAACTTATCAAATTGCAATATCTTGTAAATATTTATATCAGTAATTAGTCTAACAGATTTTTCTACCTCTTGCAGTTTGGGGTGCATGCAATCACGCATTTCATTTGCACTGTATCCTGAAATGGGTGAATTCTCAGACATCACAAGCGCATTGCCCCATGTGCCGTCGTGAATGGCAGTTTAAAGGATGAGAGCATAGTGTTCTGTTCTTTTTAAATGTGACCACTGTTAACAATGTAAAAAAATTGGTATAGTTAATCGAAGACCTCTCTTCTGCAATTTTTCCATTAGTGTAAGGTGTATTGCTTCTTTATTCGCAAATGTCCTATAATTTCTTTTTTGCCTTCTAAAGATGAATGATAATATCCTTTTTCCTCGTTTTCTCTGATCCAATAATGGTCATATGTATACATACATAGGCAAATTATATTCCTACAATAAAATTATATAAGAACACATCATCCATGTTGTCGCTCGTTCCTCTCATTTCTTATGATAACACCCTTGGTTGTATCATGTACGAATTGACGTATATATATTTTTCTGTAAGAACATGATATTTACATACATAATATGCTTCCGCAACATCTTTTATATATATATATATATATATATATATACAGTATATGGTGGAAATCGAGTGTAAGTTCCACGTAAGGGTTTCATTATTGGAGATTTGTTTCCTATGCAAGTATGATGGTGACTTGATGGATAAGTCTCACGAACCTAATGAACGTGTCAGATATTTCCTGAACTTTCGATGTTCCAAGTTGTAGTGACTTCTCTTCTAAATTAATGAAGTTTTAGTTCGATACGCAGCGCTATTACCTGATTTCAGAACTGCCATGTGGTGTTTCGTTGGCATTTTTCATTTCTGTAGTTTGCTTATATTATAATTCAAGCCTTTAAACAATTAAGTTTATCCAATTAGGTCTCCAAAAATGTTCTCTGTCACGTCAATAATTTCTTATGAAAGGGTGACGATAACAAATTACTTTACCATCATATATATGGATCACATCCAAAAAGTTGTCTCATCTGCAGTATATAAAAGATTTGGCTTAAAGAGTTTACGAATAAATTTGAGTTATTTTTAATTTATTTTAATATTTTTGCTATAACTTATTAAAATAAGTTATTTTTAGTTTTCAACTTCTCTTGTTTAGTTTATGACAAATTATTAAATAAATGCTTAATTATAAATTGTTTTTAAATACATTCAAAATTGTATTGTTAAATAGTTGTCACATCATTAACGGTGGTTTAAAACTTATAAAGTTTTGCTCAATTAAAAGAATAAAAAAATATCTTAAAACGTTATTAAAAAACTATGGGTAAAAAAATCATTTTTAAGTACTTAAATGGGTAAAAAAAATATTTTTACTAATAGTAGAAAAATAATTAAATTGTAGAAATTAAAAGAGATTAAAATAAAAAAAAATGCAAACATTTATCTCGATTCAACTACTAAGTACTAATTACTTGTGATTTACCTCCAGTTTCACTGTATTAAAGCAGTTATTTTTCTTTTTACAAGATACTGAACTCAAATAAAAATTTCACTCTAATACTTCACCCAATTTTTTCTTTTTAAAATCTTACACTCCAGTTTATTACAAACAAGTCTAAAATAGCTATTGGTACTCCTCTTTAAATGTTTTAATAAAATATTTTTTATTTATTAATTAAATTAATAATAACAACATTATTAGAAAAAAGAACTTAAAATGAGAAGTGTGATATGGCAGTGAAAAAGACTCCTGACCTAAGTAAGCAGTCTTTTATGGCTGGCCTTGCCAGTGGCTATGGTGGTTGGTGACAAAAATGAGAGCTCCTGAGGTAGCAGATCTGCTGTCGGAGCAGAGGCGCAACAACAGTGGGGTTTCATAGAGTAAAGTTGCAAATAGACAGCAGAACAAGCACTGTGCAGAATCAAACTTGTTTCTTTCTGTTTAACTTGTACCCATCTTAAAGGATCTCCCTCTAATTTAACATCGTTTTACTGTTACTATAAATTTTTGAATTTATTAAATAAAACTTCAACTGTTAACAATGGGTTGCCTTCTTATTTTATCAACAAAGGTAAACTGATAAAACTTTTTTTCACGATTTATACCTTCCTCAGCACATATACAGTGCCAAGGTGGCTTCGCTATAACATTCGGGATTACCTTCTTTTGCTCGTTCACGTCGTCGAACTAAACCTTTTGCTAATATCATTGGACAAATTACTGGCCACCTCGTTGTCTTTGTCATTATCATTAATCTTTTTAATTTTTTATTTTTATAAATCTACTTAATTATTAAATAAAAAACACTATATACATTTAATATTTTTAAGATAATTAACATATAAAATTTTTATTTGATGCTACTTGTTTTATTCTAAATCTACTTTTTCATTAAATATACTCCATTCAATGCAGCTTATTTATTCTAAATCTTTCTATTAACTTCTTACGAATCTTCTTGGGAGTAATCACTGATATGAAGAAATAAACAACACGTTTTTATTAATATCAAATTTTAGAACTAAATTTGAACATTCAAAAGTAAAAAAATTACAAATCAAATTGTGTATTTCAAATGGATTATCCAATCTAGAGACTACAAACTACACACTCCACCCTCCTGAAAGCTAAGACAAAGGATTTCAAAAGCAGAACATTTAAAAATGATAACAATGACAACGATGTATCAAAGAAGCACTAATATCAAGTTGAAAGACAGAAACGCCCATGACATTTGCTCATTTGTTCACCTGTCAAAAACACATCATTTCAACAGTGAAATTAGGAGGGACCATAAAAGTAAAGGTAATAAAAGCAAAAAAAACCCCACTTAACATTCCTTTAATCATAATTATTAGCTCAAGAAATTAGCATCAAAGCAGTGCAAGGAAGATCTCCATGCCCTCTTATAGCAGTACACATAAAGCTTGTAAAAAACACTCCCAGTACTCTCCTTAACATTTTGTCTTCTTTCTGAATTATAGCTACTGTTCTTGAAATGAAGATGTTGTTTATGTTTCTTTAAAAAAAGAAAAAAAGAGAAGAAGAAGAAATTATCTAAGTGGATTTCACTTAAATTTGCCCTCAAAAAATCCCAACAGCAAAAAGAAGATAATCCCAGGGGCCTTAAAAAAGGGTCACTCACAAAAGCTAAAAGGCGATCACTTGGTGATAGCATAAACAGCATAGATAATTCCGGGTATATAACCGAAAATGGTCAGCACCAAACAGATCCAGAACTCCACCTACCATCAACCATGTCTTGTATTAGTCACACTTTGCACTTAATTGAGAGACAACAAAGAATGAACCAAAATTAGGAGTAAAAAAGGATAAATTTATATACATACCTTGCAGCCATACTTGAGGAAGACTCCAAGAGGAGGCAAGATGATGGCAAGGAGGATGTCTATGCATGTAGCTGTGCCCTCACTGGCCATTTTTTCTCTCTCGATTGCTTCAAATGAAAATGGAACAATTCGAATTCGAATGCTCTGCTACGAGCCTTTAACCGCTGAATTAATGGGTGCTAACTTGTGAGAGAAACGGGTGGGGTGGTGCATGCTTATTTATAGGCCACATATACACTCTGTGGACCAACGTGGCACTTCTGCATTGGAAACAAGGACGCGGTTGCTTAACCTTGTAAATTCTGTGTACCGTTATGCCGTTTGCACATTTTCCGAACATACAACAATTTATTAAGTAATAATCAAATTTCCTCTCACCTTTTATTTTTATAAACCTCTTCGTTATTAAATAAAAATATTATATATATAAATATGTTTCAAAAATAAAAAAAAATATACATAATTTTTATTTAGTATCTACTTTATAAAATAATAAAAAGATATTTTGAAAGATATAGTACATTTTTAAGCATCTTATTCAATTTATTAATTAAAAGTATATTAAAACTATTATAAAATATTTTTTTTATTTTTTTTATTTTAATAAAATTTTCTACTGTTTGGTAATACCATAAAGGTATATTAATAATATTTTTTAATAAATATTTATATTTTTCATTCTCGTGAATTTAATAAAAATTTCTTTATTAGTTAATTTTTTTTCTCAAATGAAAAAAACTAGTGGATCTTTTCAAATTATATTTTTTCTAGTGTATAATATTTAAATTTGATATATAATAACAAGGAGTGAGTATCCTAATCAAGCCAATCAAACCCACATTGATTAAGAAGAAAAATTTATGCAACAGCCAGATTAAAGCAGGTTTTAGATTAGTATTTTTAAAATTTCAGTTTTTAATAGATATATATGGTCGGATTCAATTTTAAATTTAAACTTTAAGTTATCCGATTTTATCTAAAAGGGTGAGGCTACAAATATGTGTAGTAATGATTTAAATTAATTTTAAATTTTAAAGACTTGTCAAATCTTCTATTCGTAAATATTCTGCAAAATTATAGCAACAAAGATGTTGAACATGTTTGATTTATTTTTTTAAAATAGTTTTTAGTTTTTAAAAGAGAAATTAAACATCCTTTTTATCTTCCTTTCCTATTTTTACATGGGATTATCTTTGTTATATGATATTAGCTTTCTTCTATGCTCGACTCAACCATCTAAATAAAAACATTTATTTAACTTACTTAGACATGTTAACTAAGACTCAACGAATCCGGTAGATGCTTCAGACAAAAATAAAAGTTAATATATTATGATTAGTTTACTTCAGTTTAAGGTTTTTTTAATCTAAATTCGATTGGTGTCCACCTCTTCATAACTCATCTTTACTAAGAATATTTTAACTTTCATTTATAAGAGTGATTAGGTAAAAAAACTACTTATTAGACCTAATTAGTTTTAAATAAATAATATTTCTATAACTTTTAATGAGATGTGAAAAAAAAGTGAAAAATATATAATAAATAATGTGAGAAAAAAGAAAAATTCAAAGAAAGATTAAGTAAACATGAGCTATAAAAAAAGACTAAATTCTATATATATATATATATATATATATATATATATATATTTGTCTTCTAAATTTAAGTGAGTATTTAATTATTTAATTTTTATTGAATTTAAAATTTATGTAAATACATAATACATTTAAATGCTAATTTAATAAATTTTTAACCGATAATTTATATCTAACATTAAAAATTTATTAAAATAAATTAAAAAATAAATTTATTTTAACAAGTTATATCAATAAATTTGTTAAAATAAATTAAAACTATTTATGAGAATGACAAAATATTTTCATAAACTGGTCATAAGTTTTTTTAAATAGATACTTAATTTTTTAAACTTAATTTAAATTTTGCTTCAATTTTTTTATTTAATTTAGTTTTCTAATTTTTCTTTCATATTAAATTTTATTTATTTTTAAATTTTTAATCTTTCATATAACATTTTATTGTTTGATGCATATATAGATTCATAATAAAAATGATTAATAAAATATTAGATATATAAAATTTGATAAAAGTTTTGAACAATCGCTTGACAGTTAAATGTATAAAAAACATATAAGAAAATATGTTTTTGGCCAAAATGTTATTATTTTAAAAACATGATTATATTAAAATAAGAAATAGTTAAAGAATTATTTTACTTAAAATATTTATATAAATAAATTGTACAAAAATAAAAATTTAAAATACTAAGTTAAATTAAAAAAAACTAGTAAACTAAGTCCAAATTTCACTTAAATATAAAAGATAAAAATATATTTATATATAATTTATTCAAAAAATTGAGTGAGCTGAACTTAAATATTTAAAAGTAATAAAATTTTGTAAAAATATATTTATTAAATTAAAGACATAAAAAATTATAATAATATACATTAAAAATTCCTAAAAAATATTTGCACTTAACGGTCAAAGAATATAAAATGATAAGACCATAACGTTATCCTTTGGATTCTGAAAAGAAAGGGACAACTCAGGTGTAAGGTTGGTATCATGTAACAGAGACGGGGGCGAGTGATTATGTGCCACGTGGGAGGCATGGGAAGAAGCAAACAGTAAAACACGCAATAAAAGTCAAAGGCAGCGTAGGAGTGATCTACGGCTCGTAGGTTGCCCCGCAAATGAGAAGCAACGGCGTCGATTGAGCCATGCTTTCTGGGGTTTCTATCCACCCCATGTTACAACCGACCCCTCACGTGTGTGCCACCTTTCCCTTCCCTTCTTTTCTTTTCTTTGCTAATTTATCAACTCTGCTCTTCTTTATTTTAGAGAATAAAGTAAATTATTCCCCAAATATAATATATATATATATATATATATTATAATTATTATTAATTAAATTTTTGAGTTAGAGTTTACTTTAAAGCATCAACTTCATGTAAGAATATCTTTAAACAGAGTTTTATTGAAAACAAAGGTAAAAGTATTTTTAATTAATAAATAATAAATACTCTCGCATGTGTCATGTGCGTGGAGAAACGGGATTAATGGATTGTTACTTACATCGACGTTGATATTGATATTAATATAGATTTAGCAATAAAACAACGTTAATTATATGAATTACGGTTATTTTGAACTGATTGTTAAAAATTAAAAAATATAGTAGATTGTTATGCCTTTTCATGTCAAGGATATGTACCTCATTCTTCAGAAATTTTATTAAACGTTGTTTTTTTACCTATTCTCTTGAACGTGATTTTTCAGTTTTGATCAATGTAGGTGTTGAAATGTTTATCACGTGCTTATCGTGTGCCCAACCTATAAATTGAAGTTACATGTGATATGAGAATTAGCAAGGAATAATAACTAAGAAATCAGGAAATAAGAGAATGAATCTCTTACAAACATTTAAGGTCTATGAGATAAGTAAAAATAAAGTAAAAGAAAGTTTAAATTAAATAATTGACTATGTTGAAGACACATAAAATGTGGAAGAAAAGAATTGGAAATTAGAATAAATTAAAGATTAACAAATTATGAATATATTTCATTTATGTTAATTTTATTTTTGTTTTTATTTGTATTTTAAGTTAAAATTTTATTTTTTATAAATAATTTATTATGTCTTAGATCATTGAGTTAGACCACATTAGTTATTAAAAAAATTTAAAATTTTATTTTTAATTTTGTTTAGTAGATTGTATTATATTAGTTAATAAAGTTTTTTAAAGTTTTTACTTAATTATTATTATTAGGCTTAATCATATTGGTTATTAAAGTCTAAGGTTTCACTTTGCATTATAAACATTTGTGTAAGAGTATGGTTAAGAGGAGAGTATATATTTTTTAATTTTAAATTAATAAATTTATATATTATTCATAATGATAAATATATATTTTTTATTATAAAAAATATTAATTTTAAATATATTTAGGAGACAATTTTAGTTTTGAATAAAAATTGAAAGTTATCTTTATAATGTTTGGTTTAGAGACAAGGCACTCAAACAGAGATAATGAAGGACAAAGACACTAATATTTATGTTTGTGTACTCTATTTGGAAGTAAGGATAGAATGTTGTGTATTGTGTCTTGTATTATGTTTAGATGTAAAAAACAAGACATAAAAAATGAAAGTTAAAGATAGTGTAAGTAATTTTGTATGATTATGAAGGATATTTTTTTCTTCAAAAGTATAGCCTCTGTGTCCCTAGAGCTGGGATACCAATGTTCGTTCTTCTAAGAAGTATACTGGTATCCTTTAAATTTGTATCCCTCATGTCCTTCTAAGTCTTTGTCTCTCTAACAAGACACTAGCCAAACATGATACACGTGTCTCTCTGTCTCTATTTTTGAACTAAATGTTACTCAAGAGAGCTAATGTGTCTCTTAGGATTATTGGAAAGAACTATTATTTGAACTTTATTAAAATTTTCTTAAATCTTATTGACATTTTACATTGAACTTTTCATTTTTTATTTTCTATTAAATTGAATTTATGGTGCTTTATTCTCTTCTTATCTTTTTCATCATTTTAGTTTTTCTTATTTATTATATTTAAATTTTATGTTCAAATTATTTCATGATTTACGAATCGTTTTTTTTATGTTTCTTGACAATATTTTATGTTTAAAAATATTATCTTTCATTTTGTTTGGATAATGTTGAAATCTAAATTTTTTAGAAGAATATAGAATTTTGTGATAACACAACTCTACTTACTTAACACATAATAAACTATTTAATTAAAACATAAAGTTTTGATCTAAAATACAAATAAAAATAAGGATTAAGTGAACATAAATTAAATTTAGCTTTAATCTTTATAATTTTCAATAAGAACATAAGAGACTAGTCTTATGTTCTTCTCTTTCACATTCTTAGGTGCTTTGAACTTAGTCGTCATTATTTGATCTAAAGCATCTTTTTTACTTTCTTTATTTTTAACATTGTTATATGACCTTCAAATCTTTTTAAAATATTAATCCTATTATTTCTTGATTTCTTCATCATTGTTCATATTAACTCATCAGCATGACTAAGCATTTTAAAAAGTGTTAAAATAAGTTTGAATGGGTAAATTTACTTTAATTTCTAAAATATGCAATGTAACTAAAGTTAGTCTTGTAAATTTTAAATTTTATTTTCAAAATTAATAATTGTCAGCCTTCTTTAGTCTTTACCATGTAAAGATGTTAAAATTGAGTAATAAAATAATTATTTATCATATTAAATAATATATGAAAGGATACAAAATAACATTATTTTTAAAAATTTTAAAAATAGATAATTTTTGTCTTTAACTTTTTAAATTTTTTAATAGTAACACTCTTTTTTCTTCTTTCCTTCTTATAATTCATCTTATTGTAAAGCATCTTATTCTTCGACTATCTCCTTTGCCTCTAACCACCACAAACTACCTCTTACATCAATGTTGTTGTCATTTGTCCAAAATGTTAATAATTCTCTTTCTCGCTCATCCCCTAATGACATGGACTAAAGTGATTAAAATATTAATTTAGAGGTTATTATTTAAAATTTTAATTTTAAAAAATTAATTTGAATGACACTATACATTTTAGAAATTAAGTGAAAGTATACTCAACTCATTTTAATTTATAAGTCAAATTAATTTTAACAAAAGTTAAATTTATAACTATCACGGGTTTTACTATCTTATTTATCTAATGCAGATTATAATAAGACACTTATATTTAATTAAGTTAACTTGCTATTATAAAAATTATTATGAGTTTTTAATGTTACAATTTTATTACCTAATTATTTGTGGATAATTTAAAAAATTTACTCATATGTTTAAGTTATATAATAATTATTTATGTGTAAAAATTAATGATAATTATTTTTATAAAAAATTAGGAAGCTTAATATGTATATATACAATCTCTTTTTGCGCTATTTATATACAATCTCTTTACAACTTATAAATTAAAACTTGTGATTTATAAGTGTGACTTTTATTTAAATTTTTTTATAGAATTTAAAGATTAAGTGCAATAATTTTTATTTTAAAAAGGTTAAAGTAATAAATTAGTTCAAATTTTAGTTTTGTTTTAATTATTTATTTATTTTTTATCCTTTAACTTACATATTTTTTTCAAATAAATTTTTGTTCATAAATTTCATTCTATTGAAAAATTATTCTTCATTTTTTTTACTCTGAACTATATAGTGAAACAAAGTATATTTAGATTTTTTTTTTCTATTTTCTTTTCTTTTCTCTTATTTTACTTCTTCCTTCATTTACTCTTCATCACATCTTTAGGACTCATTTTTTATTCCCTTCAAACTTTGATGATTTTTTTTCTTTTTTTCTTCATTTTCTCACCTTTCATCTACACCTATGACACAATAATAACGATATGGAGTTTAAATAAAGTACAAGTTTCAATGCTATGATTACCTATTTTATTTTTTCCTAAATCTAACTAAAAAACCTACAAAAGAAAAAAAAAAGAAAAATGAATTTTTTTGAATTGAAATTCAAAGGGCATATATAAATTGTGGAGACATAAATAAGGGATAAGAGGAGGAAGAAAAATAGAAAGAAAAAGGAGAATAAAATAAGGCAACTAAAAAATTTATTAAAGTATATAATGTTTTGTTGGAGTTTAAAAAAAAGAAACAATAATTTTTTTAAAATAGTTAATATTTTTTGACAAAAAATAACTTATTTAAAATAATTTTATAAGTTAAAAGATCAAAATAAAAAAATAAAATTTAAATAATAAAATCAAAATAAAACTAAAAATTAAAAAATTAGTCTACTAATTTAACTTTCCAAATGTTTTTAGTAAATAAGGTTAAAATTTTTATTTGGGGTTACAATTTCATATAATTCCAAGTAACTTTGTCTTACATTATATTCATAAAAAATATATAAATATTAAATTTATCAAATACCATGACCATAGATTAAGTATTTACGTTAAACTCTTAAAATTCATGTAGTAAAAGAACATAAAAAATGGTATGGCATATATGTATATAAAAATGTTATCTGTCAAACGTACAATGAATAGGACCTGCCAGTAGCGCACCACGTGCAGCCGACAAATCAACTTCACATCCATGTAAGGCCACGTGGTGCAGATACTTTTTTCATTAATTTCTTACATTTTTTGATAAATATTTTTTTTTTATATATTTCTTTTTCCTGTAGAAGCCGTAAAAAGTTTGATTTGTTAAAAAAAGACAAAAATTATTGTTTAATTTTTCAAATTCCGTAAAATTAAAAAAGAAATTAAGAAAATATGTGATATCTAATGCAGGGAATACCAAAAGATTAAAAAAGCAAAACACGGTTGATTTAGTCGAACACTATGAAGGAGAAGTAATAAACAAATGAAAATTGTTTTTGTTTTACGAACATGAAGCATACTCTAAAAACAAGCATTGGTATAATTAACTTGCTGGATCGGTAGCACATGAAAACCTTTCCAGCCTTGAGGTGGAGCCACCCACACCCTGGATTCATTGTTATTACTTACTTATTAGACAATTGTATTTTTATTTGTGTTTTATTTTTTATAAAATAAAACTTTAGAAATGTTTATATATTTATATTTTGTGAGTTGAATTTAAATATCCATAAATATTTTTTTATGAATATATATATATATATATACTAAAATTTTAAAAATATAATAAATGCGTATATTCTTGATTGTTTTCATTTATTGGAATTATTGTCTTATTTTAGGTATTTGTATATTAATGATTATACTTATGACGCTGTTTCCTTTTAAATTTATATTTTCTTTGATCATAAGTTTTTTATTATATTTTAATTCTCTATAAATATAATTTTTTTCTTTTCTATTTTCATTTGTTAAATATAATCCTTAATTCAGTTTTATATTTTAATTTTTACTTTATTATAATTATCTTATAACTATATGAATTTATATTTTGTTAAAAAGATACTCTGGAACTTACGTATTATCAAATATAAAAATATAGAAATAAATAAATTAGTTTTTTTATTAGGAGAACCATACAGTGGAATGTGATTGATAATTACGATCCCGAATATACTTATCCCCGTTTCCATGAATAGAAAAATATATATAATCAACTAATTCAATAAATAAAATCATATCAAATTCAGAGAGGTTTGGAAATTAAACCGGTGAAATTGGGGACGACATCAAATACAATCATTAACGAATTTAAAAATAAATATTTAAAAAAAATGAAAAGTTAAAGGCTCACAGACATGGACAAGGCAAGCAAAATATTATAGGAGTACTTTAGAAAAAGAATAAACAAATGAGCCATAAGTTGGGTTGAGGCTTGATTCATTATGAAATTAAATTTTTATGGGCCCAAATCTAAAAGACAACGGCCCTTCCTTTCTATGCCTGAAATCTAAGGCAGAGGAACCATACCTTTTTGTGAGAGCTTGCTTTTTATTATAGATGCTTTTTCTTTTTTATTAGTGAGAGTTTTTTTTTTAATTATTCTTTTCCTTTTCTCAACTCCCTTAGATACTTTTTTAAAAAAATTTTCAAACTATTAATTACACTTCTTCCTTCTTCTTCTTCTCAACCTCAATTTAACTCATGTTATCTCATTTTTTATCCACTTATTGTTATTTGTGAGCTTCTTTTTGGTTTTTTGCATGGCTTCTTCTCCATTCTCCTTCTTGAGTCCGGTTAGCTAACTTTGATATAATCATTGAGCTTTTTATGGGCTTTCAAGCTTCTCATATTTAAAGTAAGTTTGTTGTATGGACAGCGAATGTCAAGGTAGAACAAAAAGACAGTTTAATAATTATTTTTCTTAATAGTCAACAAATTATTTGTGGGAACAGAGTTGATTTTGAAAGAAGAACGTATTTTTCAGCATAATTTTTTTTTTCTTTTACATTTTGAGCCAACATGCTATATTTCATATTGTTTTATGACATTATAATATTGTTCTTTAGAAGATGTTTACTTCATTATGCTATATTTTCTGGATTGGACCTTTGACAGTTTTAACTCCAATATTGGGCTAAGCCCATGGAAAGATGCTCAGGTGCTTTTCTGTTGGGCTTTTGCCTCTCTCGGCCTCTTGGTTTTGTTGTATGGTTTGACCCAAACACAGGCAAACTCATGAAATGTAAGAAAAGGAGGGTTTTGACCAAAAAAAGAAAAGAAAGAGGAGGAATGCTAATAGCATATTATTTTAAACACACTTCTTGTGAATTATTAACTTTTCAAAAAGTAATTCACTTATGAAGTAAATATTTTAAAGAATAGACTAATTATAATGAATGTGTTGAAGAAATTCGCCATTAGCATTCTTCACATAAGAATAGTTTCATTATTCAAATGTAAAAAGACCTTACGTAATATTGCATGTATATAAGTATTTGATTATTTTGTATCCACACGTGTCAAAAATCATCGGAAAATTAAACAAGACAACTTTCTGATTGTCCCATTTTGATGTTTACAACATTCCCTATATAAGAAAGGTTGAATTGCGTTGTCTCCATAACTACATCCTGTCAACTCTTTGAACTTTCCGTTCTTTTATACATAATCAATCGAAAAGCATATATTTTGAAGAAACGAATAAGCAGCACGAACAAACTATGATTTATTATGTTTATCTAAACCTACTTTTACGTCATGTGATCGAGTGGCAATGCTAGATTACACTAGCAACTCCATATCGTATCTCATGTGCTCTCAACTAGTGCTCTCATTTTATTGAAAATAATATTTAAGGCTTTATATGCAGGCAACCAACAAAATCAAACCAGATTTTCCTTGACTTATTCTCACTATCATAATGACTCATCATCTGCACGTAGCACAACGTATAACAGACTGTACATAGAAGCGCATCTGATATTAAATCATTCTGCTTAAATTGAAGAATGACTTTCATGTGTTGAAAGACATTTCCAGCAACAGGTATATGTCTGTATATATACAAGAAAATTCTTGTTATTCTTGATGTTCATTGACAACTCAGAAATCCATTTTTAATAATATATAGTAGATATTTTTACTATTTCAGAACACACTCATTGTCCACTTAACTTTGGTGCTGTGAAATGGTACCTTCTTCATCTCAGTTGGGTTAATAATTAACTTTTAATCCCAAACGTCGAATATCATGGGCAGGAGTAAGTTAGAGCTTCACATCCTTTTGGAAAGTGACACGTTTTGAGCATTTTTTAAAACATAAGGGCCGCTTTTCCTCTGATGCATGCTTTTCTGGGTGTTCTTTGAAAAGGCATATTCATGCACAAAGATACAACGATTGTAAAGTATAATATATTATAAGTTTCTGAAGCGGTCTTACCAACACAATTATCCTAAACAATGTACTAATCTCTGGCTAATAACGTATAACTGTAAATTTGTTTTATTGATGCACAAATAGAGAGGGGCATTCTTGTTATAGCACAGCACTATTATTATATTACTGACAAAAATAGGTTGGTTATTGCTCACTGTATCTTGCCTCCCAATATATGTTCCTGCGCATGCAGTGATTTAAGATTGTCATAAACAACTTCGTGCGTCTTGTATGGGTCTAGTGGTGATGTGCAGATACCTCATACATTGCCTGCAGAAATAGTTAGTAGTGCCAGTTTTATTTTTTTTGGTCCAATTTATTAACCCTACAAGTACTTGACAAGTCACGAATTCAGAAAACGATCGAGTATTATATATAAGTTATAATAGTCAAAATAAATTTAAGAATATCTAAAACAATTTATGTATTCTTTCAGATATCTTATTTAATTTATCATTTTCTTCGACCTCGTGAAATTGTTTGTCTCACTAACAATATGATTTTACATGAATGCTAATATTAGGTGTAAAAAAGTTATATATGTACAGAAACAAATGATTTTTGGTTATAAATTTGCATACAATATAATAAAGTCAATTATACGTATTTTAAATATAAACATAATATTTTAAAAATTTATATTCCTGAAGCTCAAAATTAGCATATGTTTTAGAATTAAAATGATGATATAGGTATTCTGAAAGAATGCATGATATGTTAAATGTATTCCACATTCCCCAAATAGATACGTCCCCGGGTACGGCCTCTTCTTTAATCATTTCATTTGTTAACATTATCCTCTGTTCCCATCAGGCAATCCAATTCCTTTATTTCCATTCACCATCTTTCTCAGATTTACGCTTCGGATTTTCCAAGAACATACATAAAAAGATAAATTCCACTTTTCTCCTTTTTACTCTTATATTTGTTTTTTCCCCCCCTTAAAACCACTATTCAAATTTAAATATTTTATAAAAAATTTAAATATTATTATTATTTTTGAGGTAGAAATCAATGAGGATAAAGAGTAGAAGCGCTCAACATTTTTATTAAGTAATTATGATTTTTTTTTATCAATATTTATATCAAATTTAACCGCTTCTAATAAAGTCATAACACAAGTTAGATAATGTTCATATCATGTTGTCAATGAAAAATAGTTAAACATAAATCTTTCCTAAATTTAATAAAATTGTAAATACTGTCTAATTATTTTCAAAATTATGTTACTTCTGACTTAATATACACCGTTTAATTAACAATTTAAAATTTAACATAACAACCGATCACTTGAAAGAATGAAAAATATCAAGACGGTGATTTTTAGTTAAACACCAAAATTTAAATAATTTTTGCCATCGATAGTTTTTAATGAAACCATGTTAATTTTTTGTTTAAATTATGTGCGATATATCGAGGCTTGAAGAAATTTAACTATGTAAAAGTAGACTTTAAAAGTAAAAAAAATAAATTTATATATTATATAAATTGATGAAATATATTTACTGAATTTGGTACTTGGTAAAGATGGTATAATTTGATTGCAATGGTGTTCCCAAGAATGTAAATGTGGCATAGTGGTTCCAAAAGTTTGCACGATAATTTGCAGATTCTTCTGCGAAACTTTACAAAAAAAGCATGTTGAGGATAAAAAAAGGAAGAAATCCAAGTTGCAACGAACGACAGAATCAGCTGGGCGTCTTAGGAAGAGAGAGACAGATGGCGGCGAATTGCAGAGAGAAGTGTTATATGATGTCACAAGAAAATGCATTGCAGAAATTTAAGGTGGCTATTGCAGAGCGCAGAGGGCATCGAGAATATGATATGTTACATGGCAAAAGCACGTGAAATGGAGGTGCATGCTGAGGGTCGCAGTTAATATTGTTAACAGAAGGGTGTAAATGGAAGAGGAAGATGCATGAACCAGAAAAAAGATAGGGGGTGGGTCCACATGGATGGAACCAGGTCAGGAATGGGCCAAGTGGACGTTGCTCATTCCCCATGTCTGGGCCTGCTGGGGCCCACCTTCTTGGGCCCACCACCACCCCCCTTCTGTTGTGCCTCCTCAAACCCTCTACAGTCAAACCTTCCTCCATGCCCTGTCATGGGCCCCTATTATTCCTCCTATGCTTTCCACGTTATGTCAATCACTCCACCTAACCTTTTCATTTTTAACTTCCGCCTTTCACTTACCTTATCAAATATCTTCTTTATATCAATTTTCACATTTATATTTTATAATGTCCATTTAAAAGTATGTGATACAAGTTTGACAGTAGTATATATGTACAACTAGTCATGACAAAAGAAATAAAAAAGTTTAATTTTAATTCATTGTTAGTGTAGAAAATATACTCTATTAATTAATTAAAATATATTATAATATAATTTTTTATTAAACGACGACGTAATAATAATATTAATATGGACATCATTACATAGAAAAACAGGGGTAGACTATTTTGCTCTCTTTTCAAAAGACAGGCAGACATCCAATCCCTTGCAGATTATCTCGTTGACCCATAACTAATCCGTTCCCTAATCCAGTTTTTGATTAATTCCCACTTTTTTGGCAGTCTTCCCTATATTTTTTTTAAAAAAAATTAAACCTCAAATCAATTTTATAACCTTAAAGAGGTGGTCCGCACACTGTCTAATTACTTCAAAGTTGATGATGATATATTAATGTGAGGGGTGCTTACTAATCGAGTTATTATGTAAATAATAATAAAATGATTCCTAGGGGAAATGGCAACGATAACCTCGGTACCATAATGTTATCTTTACTTAAAACAAAGGGCATGAGGGACATTCCTGTGCCATTTAATAAAGGGGACCGCATGTAAAACAAACCATAATATGGTTGACAATCTTAGATTCTCCCTGATGACAGATGACAAATGACAAAGGGTCTTTGAATTCTTATAGAAAACTGCAATTAGTTAAATCATTTGTCTTTAATCCTTTCTTTAAATTCCAAATGATTACTACAAACCCCTTCTTATAACAAATCCAAAGCTCACAAAATGGAATCAGAGAAAACCAGGAAAAGGACATCACTCCTCTTCTGGCATGGTTGCACTGCCAATTTTTGCCACAAATCAGTACCCACCCCACAATTAACCCAAAGTCTCTCCAACAACGAAGCGAAGAAGATTGTTCCCTTTGTCAATTAAGACATTTTAATACAGTCATGATCAAGTCAATGACTTTGTTAACAACCCCTTAACCCTCAATTTGCAAACAAGAAATTCTATTATTATTATTATTTTACGATTATCTACATAAAAAGTGTCCCTATCCAAACAGGTTATAATGATACGGATATGATTTTGTTGCGGTGCATTATGGATGCACTCATGCACACACACACACCCAATTTTGCAAAAGATAATATATACAAAGAACAGAAACATTATAGATGACACCTTTCTTTCTAAGTACACAGAATAGGGACACACAAAGTCACAAACTCATACCCTCTTTCTATCTGGTTATGGTCTCACAATATGGCAAACAAACCTACTCACCCCATTTCAAACAAGAGAAGCGTGTGATTCACTCGCTTACGAGGAGGGTGAGAGTTGGATTCTGGATGGGGTCTCAGAAACTAAACCACGACAACTTGTGACTAAACCATGGTTAGAAAAAACCCCTGAATTTCTCTCTCTCTGTTCCTGCCTCATTTGTGTGCGTGTGTGTCACTGCAAGACACTGCTTTCTGCATTGCTTCTCTGCAAATCTTTCGCCGCCTTCTGCGTCCATTTGGGTCGTTCCCCCACTTGTGAAATTTCGGGTTTTCTCTTTCTTCGAGCTGAGACACAGTCTCTTATGCCCGAAAGGTTACTTTTTTTTTTATAACTTCCCATGGGTGTGTGAATTGGAATGATCACTTCCGCTCAAATAGCAGTGTTGTTGCATTTGGATTAGGAAAGCCTTGTCGGTCTCGAGGAGCTAAGGGTTTCCAGAAATTTCGTATCTTTTTGGGTACCCATTTGAGAAAAGATCACTGGGTTTCAGCCAGAAATTATTGGAGTTACATGGGTTTCCCTTGATCTAAGCCGAGAATCAGTGTCCCTATTGTTGATGGAACTCAACTGGGTTATGTGTGTGCCGACCTGAATACTGCTGATTAGGAAAAATATATATATATATATATATATAAAGAATAAAAATAAGATCGAATCTATTAAAGTCCCTTACTTTACTTAGCAAGGTTTGTGCACGACATATACTTATATATATAAGCCGTTAAAGTATTTGTTTGACTGATGCTGTTTTATTAATTTAATTGTGCATGTATTATGGTTATGTTTCTCCCTGATAAAGACTTGAGATATTAAACATAAAGGTTTTTTATTTTTTGTAAGTTATTGTTGTGATGTAATGTAGGCTTGTTCCTTTTCTTTTATAATCAATATTATCGTAGTGTATAGTGTCTTACGTCAGTTTCTCCCAACTTCATTTGGATTCCAAAGGTTTCCCAGTTAATATAGTAGAGTATGGTGGAAGCAACATTAGGGGGCTAAGTGCCTTAGTTTGATTTTGAGGCCTTTCTGAATTTTTGGTGCTGTGGTTCTGCGGATCGGTTGGTTCGTCATCATGCCTTTGTATGAGTTATACCGTTTGGCTGGAGAGAAGCTTGGTAAAGAGACTAACAGCACACGTGCACCTGATCAATCTTCCTCGTAAGTTCATTAGCATAAGCTGTTGTAACCTTTTGTTATGTGTTTGAAGTTTGAATTGCATTATTTTGTTTGTTGGTTTCTTAACTCCCTGTTCTTTTGGGTTTGAAATTGGATGTGCAGGCCTGAGAATGATTTTTTCGAGTTGGTTTGGGAGAATGGTCAGATTTCGAGCCAGGGTCAGTCTAGTAGAGTTAGAAAGAGTCCATCTTGCAGGAGTTTGCCCTCTCACTGCTTACCATCTCACAGTCCCAAAGGTAGAGATAAAGAGGTAGGATATGGTATCAACACAAGGATGGGAAAGCTTGAGGATTTAGACACTGGATTGAATGAAATTCCAATGTCAGTGCCGTCCCGTGAAGTGGATTTGAGTCAAGATGAAGATGTGTTACCTTGGTTGGATTATACGATGGATGGTTCTTTGCAACATGAATATGGTTCTGATTTCTTACATGAATTATCTGATGTCACAGAAAATAATCTTCCTGCCTCGAATAATTTTACACTATTGGATAAAAGAGGCAATGGCAATATGTTATTTAGGGACTCTCATAAAATTTCTGCAGAACAAGGGAATGTTTCCAAGGGTTCTTCAGCTGAACTGGTTGAGAGTGCTAGACCTAAAGCTAGTACCAGTCAGTTATACCCCCCATCATCGCATCAATGTCAAACATCATTGGTATCTGCTAGATCAAGGGCATCAGATATAACTGAAAATAATAACAAAAGTAATGCAAACCAGGATGTGCAGTATGGCGAAATTGCTCAGGTTCTATCTTCCTCAAGTGATTTTTCGGGCTCAAAGATGCAGAAGAAAGATCCACCTATGCCTAGCAATGGTTCCAGTTCCTCCATAATGAATTTCTCCCATTTTGCAAGGCCTGCTGCTATTGTGAGAGCTAATCTTCAGAACATTGGCTCGAAGTCTGGTTTGTGTTCGGCAAGATCAGACGGTATGGGAATTAAGAATAAAGGTGCTGCTGCAAGTAGCAGCAATCCTCCCGAGTCAATTCTTGTTGATTCAGGTGGTGAATGTCCAAAGGAACCAACCATGCACTGCCAGCAGGTTGTGGAGCAATCCAAGGCTGATTTGAAATCTTTGCAGCCAAACTCTGTCGAACAGAATGCTCTGCCTTCTAAGCAGTTGGAGGCTGCTTGCAAAGAGAGTGCCACTAACATTGATCAGACCCCCAATCAAGTTCTTGGTGACTGTAGCACTAAAGGACAGACAGCTGCGGAAAAGAGTATGGAGCCAGCCGTAGCCTCTTCCTCTGTTTGTTCTGGCAACGGTACAGACAGAGGCTCTGATGAGCCAAATCAAAGTTTGAAGAGAAAAAGTAAAGACACTGAGGACTCTGAGTGCCATAGTGAAGTAAGTAAATGACTTCAATTTACACTGCGTTTAATGTGTATCTGTTCAATTATTTTCTTATTTTATATTTTCCCTCTATAAATATAAAATATGTACATTCTACTTGAAGGATGTTGAGGAAGAATCAGTGGGTGTTAAGAAAGCAGCTGCTGGACGAGGAGGTACAGGTTCCAAGAGAAGCCGTGCAGCTGAAGTGCATAATCTATCTGAAAGGGTGAGCAAGGCCACCTTCCGATTGTGTATTGATAATTATAAAATAGCACATTTTCCCTCTTGAGGTTATGTTGTTTCCAGATTTATCTAATTATAATTTATGCATACAGAGGCGAAGAGACAGGATCAATGAGAAGATGCGTGCATTGCAAGAACTCATACCAAATTGCAATAAGGTTGGTTTTTTTCGGTTTTGATCTCGTTAGGCACATCTGAAAAACTTTATAAGGTTAAGGAGTGTTGGTTAATGCTTACCATTATCATTTTAAACTTAAAAACAGATAGCTATTGAAGTTTGTTCTTGTGAAGAGTGGAAAGTTTATTGAATCATGAAAAGTTACTACTTAAAAGCAGTAGATTCAAACCTGAAATTAAGTGTTTTGTTTGCAGGGTCTAAATCCTCAACTCAAATATGAACCATGATCTTTTTTTAAGTACATTCGTAATAGAAGTTCAACGTAAACTATTAAAATACTTTGCATATGTATACATACTTGATGCTTGATTCTTCATTTATTTATATTTTTCTGACTTAATATATACAAGGTTGATAAAGCTTCAATGCTGGATGAGGCAATTGAGTATCTTAAAACACTTCAACTCCAAGTTCAAGTAATCTATCTTCCCCTCTGGCATTGATATTTAAGTTTTCTGATCATACATGATATACTTATAGCATGTGGTTCATTCCTATCCTCTTGTGCAGATTATGTCAATGGGAGCTGGTTTATATATGCCTCCAATGATGTTACCTGCGGGAATGCAGCACATGCATGCGCCACATATGGTTCCATTCTCACCTATGGGTGTGGGCATGCATATGGGATTTGGTATGGGTTATGGGATGGGCATGCCTGACATGAGTGGTGGATCTTCTAGATTCCCTATGATTCAGATGCCCCAAATGCAAGGAACTCATATCCCTGTTGCCCATATGTCTGGACCCACTGCTTTACATGGGATGGCCAGATCAAGTTCCTCAGGGTTTGGGCTTCCAGGGCAGGGACATCCCATGCCAATGCCGCGTGCTCCTACATTTCCTTTTTCAGGTGGGCCTCTCATGAACTCATCAGGTCTGGGACTCCATGCCTGTGGATCATCAGGACATGTTGAAACTGTAGATTCGGCTTCAGCATCTGGCCTAAAGGATCAAATGCCAAATGTGGACCCACAAGTCAAGCAAAGCACTGGTGGCTGTGACTTAACTAGTCAGATACCTACCCAGGTATGTTTATTCTCAGATTTCTTTACCTTTTATATAAATGTGTCTTAGGATATAGGCTCAGCACAAACAGTTATTTCATTGATTTATTACAATTATGGAAGCATATAACCTGACATGGTGTTCGGTTTATATATAGTTGCAAATATTGTTAAATTATTCTTTTTAGTCCTCATATTCACTTGTTGCTCTTCACAGATTTAAAAAATGAATAGCACCCTTGCTCTCCATTTTTGTCCTTGTAGATTGTGTCACTAGTCATTCTAGGTCTCCTGAAATCACCATTCTCAATTACTGTATTGTTATAGTTATCTAGGTGATATTTCACATCTCGAAGGTGCATTGGAGGTTGCTTGGTTTTGCGCCTGCTCTTGAGATTGTTGAATGTTAGTTTGTTACTGCATAGTAGCTGCTAATATTCATCTTTAGGCAAGTGGAATTCCACGAATATGTTTTATGGTCTGATTGAACATTTTCAATTTTAGAATCTGAAAGACACGTGTAGGAACAAAAGGCAAAGGTTGAAATTGAAAGTGATTAAATGGCCGTTTAGCATAAATATTAGTGCATCTCAGTCCCTGTGATTTCATTTCATATTAAGTAGGCTTAAATATATTTTTTGTCACTATATTTTTACAAGGTTTTAGTACAAGTCCCTTCAAACTTCTTTTTCTGTTTTAGTCCTTTTTTTTTTGCAAATTTTTGGTTTTGGTCCTTCTCACTGAGATGGTCCCACAAAAAATTGACATATGATAGTTTCTTAGTTAGCTACGACATTATTTAACAATTAACAAGAACTAAATGTGTTGAATTTTAAAAAGTCGAGGATCAAAACTAAAAAGAATTGCAAAAATGTAGGACTAAGGACATGTTTAAGCTTATTAATTAATTAAAACAGTTTGTTTCCATTTTTGTTACGCTAGTGTGAAGCAGCAGCTGTAGGATTTGAACAATCAGCTTTGGTGCGTAGTAGTGGTCATGCTCATTCCTCTGAGGCTAATGACAGTGGAGCTGTCAATCCTGGCAAAGAAGACGACCTTGTGCTTGGTAAATCTTCTGAATATGTATCACTAAACGCATGCATGCGCTTTGCACAAAGCCACATTCAACCCCACTTTTTACATAGCAAATGGAACGAACTACTTACTGTTGAGTTGTGCCTGCAGGTTATGATTGATAAGACTGTGGCTAATGGAAGATTCCAAGTTTTAAAAAATATGAGTCTAAAAGCTCTTGCAGATTAAAGCACAGGATATTTCAGAGTCATTGAGGTTATAACCCCTCACAATAACTATTGGAATCCTAATTTTCAGACACGAAATTACACAGATTTTGGTATCTTGAGAGATGTCACTCATTTGTACATCCACTTAGCAACCTGTTCAATCAATCAGCGTAGAAATTTTATATATCCTTACAAATATGTATCAAATGTTGGATCAGATCTTTCATAGTGATTCTTTGGATTAATGAAATAATAGTTTTCTTTCTTTCTTGGCCATCTGTTTTGTCTCCCTCCCAGCCAGCCCTGCAAAATTAGAGAAAAAGTGCTTTAGCAGTTCGCGATAATTTATTTGAAAATCTATCTATGTGGATTCTTGATTTCGATCATTTGTTACCATACCAATTAATGTCCATGGTTGAGAAGATTCTATTTAACAACCTAGTATCAAGGCCTGTAGTGAAAATATTTAATTGTCATTATTATTATTATGAGAAATGAGAATAATGCACATATATTACTAAATTTTATTTGAGTATTTAAAATTAAAATATAAATGAACATGATTATTAATTATTGACAAATTATTGTATGATATTAATTTATATATTTTACGTTATTAAAATGAGACCACTTCTCATCTCTCTGTGTTCCTCAGTTTGCTGTTCTCTAACGGTGAAATCAGCTAACAAGTGGGTTGAGTAGATTATCATAGTGAAGGAGAATTTGGTTGTGGTTGGCGAAAGCCCTTGGCAAAACGGATGATGCACAAGGTTTGAACCAAATTTCTGATAGACTATCAATACTAAATCATCATGAGGTCATTTTAAAACGTACAAACGAGTCAACTTTACACGGTGAAGTTAAAATTGCTTCCATCGTTTATCATAACAAACAAGAACACAGTACATATATCCAAAAGAATAAAGCAGAACAAAACCATCAAATTTTACAGCACTGCCTAAGCATGGCCTAGATAATCTATATACACTGCACTCTGCACACCTCTTTGCGTTCAAACAAATTCAATAGAAAATAACAATGTAAAAAAAGCCAACATGTATGCTATGATAATGCTATGCATCACGACAACAAAAAAGAAAACAAATATGTAAATTCTGCAAACTTGTTCACTTCATTCCATTATTTGACTTTAATATCGCCCTTGGCCTCTGAAGAAAGGTTTTTGGAGGATGGAGATTTCCCAGTGATAGCTTTCTTTGCTTTAACTAGTGACTGTTTTACCTTTGATATGATGTTATTTGATTGCTTTTGAGCTGGCTTGGCCGGAGTTTCTTTAGGAAGGTCCCTGGCTGTTTTTGTTGCATCACTTTCCTTTGTGGCTTGAACTTCAGTTTTCTCAGCCTCCACAAGTTCTTTCTGTGAATTAACCGCTCCAGTTTCAGTAGATTCCTCTTCTTTTTCTTCAAATTTTGATGCCAATGTTTCTCTAATAGGTTCACTTACAGCTGTAGATATTTCATCCACCTTTGTGTTACCATTCCCTTCTTTCTTGTCATCAACTGTTGAACTATCATCTTTTACACTCTCTTCTGCTTCTTTTTTGTCATCAACTGCTGAGCTATCATCTTTTACACTCTCTACCTTCACACTCTCTGCTGCTTCAGTTGTTGCTGTCTTTGCTCCATTCTGCTCTTCAACTATTTTGCTTTCAACCTCTGCCTCTCTTGAGGATTCAGGGGCAGCATCAGCTGCTTCAGGTTCCTTCTTGTCATCATTTGCAGCGACAGCAACCTTTTCCTCAGGAACATAATACTCTCTTTCTTCTTTTAGGCCAGTTTTAGCTTCTTGATCAATGGAGGGTTCTTCCACAACCTCCTCTTCTTTTATAACAACACCTGCTTCATTTGATACCCCTTCAATCACATCAGTGAAGCTTGATTCTTTCTTGCCATCCACTTCAACAACCTTTTCTACACCTTCAGAAGAAGGTTCCACAAGATTTGTAGGAGCTGCTTGAGCTTCCCCGTTTGATGAAACTTGTGCAGCATTTTCTGTGAGGCTACTTTCCTCCTCTTTGTTACTTTTCTCTTCCTTGAATGATAATATGGAGTCTTTGATTGTGTCATCTGAAGTTTCTTCATTCTTGGCAGTATCAAGCACTGTTTCTTGCTCAGTATCCACGTCATTACTTGTTTTCCCAACATCCTCACATAATTGTAGTAGTTCGCTTGGCTTTTCGTCCACTTCAGTAGACACCGGTTCTGGTTTCTCTTCATTTGTAGGCACTGCTGCTGATTCTGAGTTCCCACTCTCTTTCACCACTTCAATATCTGAATCTTTGGGAGGGTGATCCTCAACTATATCTCCTGTTTGCTTTGCAATCTCAGCTTCTGTTTCAGGAATAACCACCGTCTTTGGCTGCTCTTCTTCCTCTTCTTTGAGTGATTGTTTTTCTGGTTCACTTTGGCTTTCATCAGCCTTTGTAACTGCAGGCTCTGCTATCTCTGTTTCTGTAGGTCCTGCTTTGTAGTTGTTAGTCTCTTTCAAAACCTCTGCCTCAATTTCTGGTTCTCTGGTTTTTTCCTCTATTGCATCACTGGTTTCTGCCGAGTGTTCAGGAATTGCCGATGAGTCTGGTTGCTCCTCTTCCCTTTGTACCAATGATTGCTTTTCTGGTTCTTTCTGGTTTTCCTGAACTTCAGTAACCTCAGGTTCTGCTTCCACTGTTTCTGTAGGCCCTGCTTCATTGTTGTTGGTCTCCTCTGATACATCTGTCGATGGTTCAATTGTTTTTTCCTCTATGGTATCACGTGGTTTCTCATTGGCTTCAGCTGATGGTTCAGGAACTGCAATTGTGCTTGGTTGCTCAGCCTCTAGGAATTCCTTTTCCGGTTCTGGTTCTTCTGTTTTTTCCTGCACTTGTGTAGCCACAGAGACAGGCTCAGGCTTCTCTTCCTCTTGGGCACTTGTTTCCAAAACTTCAGCCTCTTTCACCACATCTGCTTCTGATTCTGTCACAGGATTAGCCTCAGCTATGTTGCTTAATTTTTCAATGGTTTCATCTAATGCTTCTGGAATGTCTGTTGCCTTAGGTTGCTTTTCTTCATCTGTTTCTAAAGGTTCCTTCTCTAGCTGCTGTGGTGTTTCTGAAGACAGTGGCTCATCTGGCTGACATTTGACTTCATCGTGTTCTGGTTCAGTGACACTGATAGTCTGTGAGTCAGGAACCAGTTCCTTCTCCTCCTTCAGATTATCTGCAACTGTAATAGATGGATCTAATGGCACAGAATCTTCAGTATTTTCTACAGCAACAGCAGGTTCAACCTTCTGATCATCTACTTCTGTTGGTATTGTTGGACTTTGTGCATCCTCAACCTTGTCATGTTTCGCACTATCTTCAGCAGAAACCTCTAATGCTGGAGAATCATCAGATTTTTTGGCCTCAACTGCAGCAAGCTCAGGCTTCACTTCATCTTCTTCTGTCTTAGATGAAGGGGTAGCTTGACTTTGTGCATCTTCAGGCTTGTCGTGTTTGTCTTCATCGTCATTGGCTAAAGAAGCAATCTTTTCTGCAATAGCTTCGTCCTTTTCGTTCTTCACATATTGCTATATAAAGATGAAAAAGCATTGATGGTCAAGCATTAACAAACAATGGATTTATATACAAAAAAACAAATTATGAAACATGGTAGAATTTGAAACTAGCAGGGGAAGTAAGAAGGACATGGCCAAACTGAAGTATAGAAACCACATTTTTTTCCATGATCTCCAATTTGCTCCCTTACAATAATATAAATGTTAAATGAAAATTGGCATGGAAGTTTATGCCGCATAATAAAAAGGCAGATAGATGAGTGTGTCTGAGGAAGCCATGCACTAATACAGCCACCGTATTTCCAACTTAGTGAATCTTTGGTCCGCTGCTATTTTGTTCTTTAATTTATTCATAATTTGCAAGTTTGAAGAAAGTACTCTCCTCAAATAACAATACTTATATAGGTAACAAATCCAAATATATAGGTAATATCTTGGTGTGCGCCAAATCCATATCTAGAGGACATGACATTTTTTAGTCACAAACATATACATACAACTCAATGGCAACAGTGGTACCTCGTTCTTTCATCTCCTTATCAAAGGGTATCCATGCAAGTGGCAGGGGAGGCAAGTTGCAAAATTTCTTTTATGGTACATCAATTTTTATTTGTTTATGTTTAATATTCTCAATCTTGATATAGATAAAGATTATGTTAGTTTGACAACTTTTATATGCAAAATAAAATAAACAATGTCTAGATTATTTGAGAAATATCGTAACTTTAAATTGAGTTTGAAAAATTCAACAAGTTTTAAATCTAATTTGTCTCTTTATGTTATATAAATCAATAAAATATTTAGTTATTTATTTAGGCCCCACAATACTTATTTTCTAGATCCGTCTTGGGTAGACTATAGGTATTTGACTTGAATGAGGACAGATATTGATGCAATCCATTTCCTTTCCCAATCTTACAATAATTGAAGTTAAATGTCTAACTAATTCTCCTCCAAAAAAAGAAAAATAAATGAGCAATTTCTTTTAATACAAAAGATTCTATATGAAACTTATTACCATCTCTTACTAAATCAATTATGATAGCAGAGGTAAAAAAAAGTTGAAAAATGAGTAAGTCCAGTGACAGAAAAGAAGAAACTATTTTTTTCATTTCTATCTATACATGAATTGTTTGATGAAAATGAATTCATGCATTAGTAAAACAAAAAATTCAAAGAAAAATTCAAGAAAACTTGTTCATAGTTATCCACCGAGTCTATATGCAAGCTTGATTCCAAAAAGAAACAGAACACAATATGTAAGCCCGATCAAAGTGGGTTGCTTAAGACTGGCCACAGAGACACTATATCAAGAAGTTGAAGATCAAAAAGAGCCTTGAAAGTGAGAAAAGGGAACAAACCTCATCAGTGATAGAAGCATGATCAGATGCATGAGTCTGAGTAGCCATGATGGGAAGGAAATTGAAGTTCACTTTGTGACCTTCCAAGTTGTGGAGAAGTGGAAGTGAAGCAACAAATAAAGAAAGTAAGAGAAGGGAATAATTTGGTTGGCAACAACCCCAGGAAAAAGAAGGAAAGCCAGTTCAACTTTAGGAAGAAGAACAACTTGTTTTCCACAGAAAAAAGCAGAAACAGAAATGTTTGACAGACTGTATCACATGAGCTGGGATGGTGGTCTCAATGATTTAGGAGGATTAGGATTAATGTGCCACTAAAGTTTTCCCATTAAAAACAAAAAAGTATGAAATAGAAAAGTTGATCATATTGCTGTTGAGCTGTGGCAAAGTAACTAACTTTATTGGGGACCAGATCAGTGGCATGAAACTCCTACATTTAACGGTCGAAAATGCTTGGACCCTCTTGTCAAACCTTGTGGATAGTAAGATTCCTGTACGTCATTAAGCTAATTATCTGATTAAATTTCATCTCCAAATTATGCAAACGATAAATGAATACTGATATGTTTAGACAATATCTCAGGAAACTTCCACTATATTAATAATTTATAAAATTATGCAACTTGTTCCTTTTTAATTTAACTTTCATTGTTGTCAGTTTTGTTGGACCAATTTCTTATTTATGATTCCATGCATCTTTATTAGCTGTTGCGACTAATAAGTCCAGAAATTATCATAATCAATGCGCGAGAAATTAGTCTTGCACATTATTATTTCATGTTTACTTCACTTTTCTTCTTACTTGAAATCTTGTGACAAGATTTAATCTGTCCAAGATAGACACACTTGTAAGGTCTTGTACCAGAAGTGGGCTATATAATATATAAAAGTTGGAATGATATAGACAACAAATATAATAATATACATATATCATGATATTTAATAAATAATTGTAATGTAAAGATATCATGATATTGGATGAATAATTGTGTTCATTTTTGTCATAATTGTAATTTGGAATTAACAAAAAGTAGAAGATACTAGTTTATCTGAACCAAGCATCAAGGTTTAGTGAAAATTATCATAATTTGCTTAAAATGATAAAATAAATAAACTTAATTTCCTAGCGCTAAAAAGGTCGTGTTTCTTCCACGTTAGGGTGATGGAATTTGCTTAAGTTTTCAAACTTAGATTAAGACATGCCACTTCCATGAAAATGATGCTGCCTCATGTCACTTTAAAACATTATTGGTGTTCGCATGTTAGGCATAATTTTGGCCCGGGGAGAGGGGGGGGGGGGGTGCTTTTGGTACGAAATTTTTACCCCCTTTTTTTTGTTTTTGGTGATTTAAATAATTTGGATGAACTTTATATGTGTGAAGATATCATGTATATACAATAAATCCACTTAGATCCCACAAAAATAGAGGATTAAGAAGATAGATAAATAAAATAAAAAAACTTCCTATGCTTTATGTTAATGCATTGGATAATGTTTCTTTCTTTTTTTTATTTTTTATGAAAGATAATGTATTTAAATTGACAAATTTTCCATTTTGTTAACATTTTAATACTTTCAGCCAACAAGTTGAACCTTTCTCCATGATATGTTTTTGGTTCTTTTTTAAGCCTTAACCCAACCATCTATTTAATCCGAAAAAGGAAAATGAGATTCAAGTCTCAAGTGACAAGTATCATGAGTAATGTCATGACAGCTGCCACAACCCTCTTTTTAAAGATAGAAGGCTATATAGTCTACACTGCAGATTTGTTGAAGAAAATTATGACAATTCAATTGCATAAAGAAAGATGCAAGGAAGCCCACCTTCTTTATTTATTGAGCTGGTTCCCCTTCACATGTCCCCCATCTTTGGAAATGGAATCTTCTATTAAGCCCATTGTGAACTTGCTGAGTGTAAGAGTTAAGTGGTCCTTTAATACTTAAGCCTGTTTTCATAAATCAACAGAGATACTAAAATGCTTTCTTATAGTGAATGATGCTGTTTTTCCATTGTACTATTAGAAGAATATGGGCTTGAATGTTTATGCTGTTCATTGGTTTGAAATTTATATAGACCCAACTTGACCATTGCCTCCAACCAAAAGAAAAATGACTCTTCCCAATGAAAAAGAAACAAACTCGATCATTTAAAGTAGACAAGTTTGTTGTTTGACCTTTCCCTTCATTATATTGTATGTATATTTTTTATTTTGACACCTTTGATATCCGGAAGTTAAATTTGATGGAATATATATATATATATAGCAGGATTATCTTATATTAGTATAAATTTAAAAACTTTTACACTAAATCTGAACTTTTTATTTAACTTAAATTTAACGGGTTATAATTTATCACTTCACTGGTCATTAAGTTTAAGTTAAATGAAAGGCTTAGATTAAATCTAAAAGTTTTTAGACTTATAAAAGTGATAGAAGATCCATCCTCTCTATATATATATTATTCACGAAATTATTTTCTATGAACATTCACAAAATTTTAGATTTAACCTAATTTCATTTCACTTGATTAATCTGATTAAGCCCCTTAAACATAAGATTTGAGGTTTTTCTTTATTTTGTTAATATTTATCTTTATAATTAATTTTTTATGTATTTAAAACTAAAATAAATTTATTAAAAAGATATTTTTATGGTAATTTTTTTTAAAAAAAAGATATGCTTTAAAATTTAAGTCTGATTCAATCTTAAGCCTAAAGTCATACCAATTAAAAGTTTTATTGAATTTAAATTAAACTAATCTATTTAAGTGTTTTTTTTAATGGACCAAAATTTTATTAAACTGGAGTAACAAGAATACTCCTGAACAATACAAAGAAAAAAACCAGTGATCTTTTCTCATCATAAACAAAATATTTTGTGGTAGAAAGTGGCAACCAAAACTCTAAACAAGCTATTCAAGTATAAAATGCATGTTTAGACAAACTTAACATATATATTATTTTGTAATTCAACTATAAAGTAAACTTTTTAAATCTGACTCGTTTGAGCGTAATTAAAGCTTAAACCGGGATAACTCAAATTAGGTCAAATAACTCATTTTAACCGCTCTAAAGACTTCAACTTAGAATCTTACTTAAGAAAAACAAGTTGCTTACCACTTATTACACTGCTATGTTATGGTTTTGATTTTATGAGTTACACTACGCTATGCTTGTCTTGGCAAATTTTGTGTTTGCCACTAAAACCTTATGTATGCCACCTCTCTCGTCTTCCTTCCTTCAAATAATTAAACTTTTCTCTTCAACACAAAAGAACCTTTTCCTGTGGAGAGGGACACATCCCCGAGAATGCCAACTAGAGTACGTAGGTATGTATACATTTTCTTTTCCTTTTTTGTTTTGGACTTTTTAGCTTTGCTTCTACTTATGCCTTTGAATATGAGGGGCTTGTGCCATCCCATCACAGATTTCAAAGTTTATGAAGTTGACAGATAACGGAGAGCAGAAAAATGTTACAAAGTGGGTTGGGGCATTTGTGAGAGAAATTATTCACAGTAATGTATTTGATAGCAGTGGCAGTGGAGGAGTGAAGATGTGCAACGAAATGAAGGCACTCTTTCTTGGTAAGGTTCATTTAGATCACCAGCTTTGTTAATAACGATTGTGTTGTGTGTGTTCCACCACTCAAAAAGATTATAAGAACATAGTATGGCATGTCAATGTTAGTAGTAAGTTAGAATATATATATATATATATATATATATATATATATATATATATATATATACATATACAAATAAGAAGTATCTTCTTATCTTATATTAGTGTAAGTCTAAAAATCTAAACATTTTTTTTAACTTAAATTTAACAACCACTAAAGTAATAAATTATAACCCGTTAAATTTAAATTAAATAAAAGACTCAGATTAAATATAAGAATTTTTAGACTTATACCAGTATAAAAAATCTTGTCCCTATATATATATATATATTTATTAAAATATCACTAAAATTATAATATTGTATATTTTTGGGTCAAGTAAATTATAAAGTCCTTACTAACATTATTGAGTTAAATTTCTTAATTTCTTACACGACAGACTATTTTATATATATATATATATATATATATATATATATAATAAAAAATAATAATATCAATTCATTTATAGTGTATACTTTGTCATTTTTTCTGAAAAAAAAAGTCATTTTCTTTAAACTTCTCGTTAGTGAAAGGGTCATATTCTTCTAGGTTGTTAGCATTTCTTTAATTTCTTCTTTAATTATCTTTTATTTTTTAATTATCCATTTCTTATTACATCAATTTATTTATGATACTGTGAATCAATTTGAATATCTTTTCTTTTTTACAATGCCACCATTTTTTATTCAAGTATAAATAATTTAAAACTTTGGATGATGATTAATTGCAAAAATATTATATTAATCTAAAAAAATGATCATTCTAATATTGATTCTCTTGATTTATTTTCATAATTAAAATATTTTTAAAAGTGACAATTTAAGAAATTAATAGACCATTTGTATCTCTCTTTAAATATATTTTTATTTTTTAATTTAAAAATATTTTTTTAATGTCTGTCTAAAGACACAATAATAAATTGTATATACTATTTTTTTCGTTAAAATTATAAAACGTCACATGATTTAATATTGTATTGGATAGGTTGCATGCATGCAAGTGCACTTTTACAACGTTAAGGACACAAAAGAACCATGAATAAGCAGCCCTGCACCTTTGTTTTCTTGTGCCTGTCCATTACAATTTGCATCTAAGCAGCTGCAGCAGCAACATCGAACAGGCGCATAAATCTCATTCTTTTTCCAACTCCAAAACAAATATAAACCAACACACTTAAACATATTTTCAATCATTATAAATACAGTTAATTTTATTTTTCATAAAATTTTGAAATGTTAAAAGATTATCTATTATCACTTAATATTGATGCAATATATCTATATATTTTTACGTTAATGGCACAACATGTTTAAATATATATATAGAATGTCAGCAGTAAATAATAATGAACGTTAAATGAGTAATTCAAAATTAGCTTAACCATGGTTAAATATTAAAAATTGATGGTTAGGTATAGTTTGTTGATTTTCCTTATTCGGTGGTCTATCACTAACCAACTCGGTTAGTTTTGCTACTAAGGGTATAAAACCCTCTTTGTATCATGTGTGTAAATGTATTTTTTTGAAATTAGTTTAAAAATAACCCTCTCTAAGTTTCATTGCTCTGATCCAATGAGGTATTTGAAGTGTTTAAATAGTTTAAGGCTTTGGTGGAAAGACAAAGTGGGAAGTTGATCAAGTTCTTAAGAACTGATGGTGGAGGTGAGTATGCTTCCAAGGAGTTTGAGCATTACTGTGTCAGTGAAGGTATCATGCATGAAATCACACCACCATACGCACCTCAGCACAATGGCTTTGCTAAGAGAAGGAACATAACCATTCTTGACATGGCTAGATGTATGTTAAAACAAAAGATGTTACCTAGTGAATTCTGGGGAGAAGCGGTTGCTATTTGATAAGTCTGTAATTAGGCCTTCTTTTACAGCCCATATATTCATAT